TCCTGCAGTAAGAGAATCGCTTCTTGATTCACAGCTTCCAGGACCGCTTCACTGTCCACCAGATCTTGACCTACAGCCTGAAATAAAGCCATTTCAAAACGTAAGGGACAAGGAGAAGTGTCCCCTTAATAGAGGTGTCCCTTAAATAGAGATTAAAGATTACAAAGACGGTTAGCCTGCGACGACAGCCGCCTCCATCGCGCGCCGCTTTCAACGATGGAGGGCAGCTGTATTCGTAGGCTAACTGTATGAGCGGTAATTATGCCGGGACAAAAGTTTGTGTCCCCTTAAAGAAGATGTCCCCTTAATAAAGGTGTCCCAAAGTGGAGGCTACGATGCATTTCTTGTGTTTGAAAGAACAAGAAACGTTTCTACTAAAACAATTAATGACAGTAATGACATTACTCGCTCTCGTGTTCTTTGAGCGATAGTCAGCTCGACTACGCCTCGTTCACTATCGATTAGCGAGATTAAGCACCTCGTTCAACGGCAAACGTCAGCTTGCAGTTGATTCTCCAATCGTTAAATAAACCCATCAGAAAAATCCAAAAATAATTCACACGTTCACGGCAAACGCGAAACTACTCACTTTGACGTAGAAACAGCAAACGGCAGACGGGAAAAACAAACGTGATGCTTAATCTCTCTATATTCGCTTGTAGAAACCGTACGCTCCTAGTCTAATTGTATAAGTGATGCTGGAAAAAGAAATCTTGCAGCAGTTATAAACAAAGAAATATGCGTAACAAAAGGGGACTGGGACGGAACAAGGACATTCACAAAAACAGGGCGGCGTACGTAGCAGTTGCGGCGAGAGCGAAACTTCGCGCCATAGCCGTGACAACCCAACGGGGTGCAGTGGCATCCCCCCTCCCCTCCCTGGAAATGGAAAAATATAAATTCTCGGAAATGCTTTTTCCTGCATTCTGGGAGCATTTGTGACCAAAAATGTGAGGCAGATATTAAATTTTAAACCATCTGAACAAACTAAATCCTAACCAACGTTGTTTATACTGTATATAAAAAAAACTCCAGACGGAAGGAAAGGCCGCGACCTCCTCAGCCCCACCCCCTAAATTCGCCTATGTCATTACCTTGCACTCTTCAATTTGCTTTTGCAGTCGTCAGCGTTCTTAACTTGTCGCTTAGTAACAATCCCCTGCGTGTTCTTAAAGAACGAGTTCATCTTGTGTTTCTGCTCTGCAAACTTGTGCCATTTGCCCGTTACTCTGTGGAAGAACTCTCTCTTCTCTGTGATGTTCTTTTGTAGCGATTCAAAGCGTTCGATTAATTCTTGGATTTCCTTCATCGCGCAGCCGTCCGCATCGAATTCCATCATGTCCTGTGCGGCTCTGTTGAGCGCTTCAAGGTCACGCTTGTGCGCGTTCAGTCGGTCAAGGATGCCCTGGAACGAAAAGGTATCTTAGTCACTTACTTCGTCACACATCTTCAAGATACGGTACCTCGTGACACGTCTTATAAGTCAAGTACCTCGTCACACATCACAGTGGCGTGTACCTTATTATACACCTACACGTATCTTCACTCCTAGAGTTAAACCTTGAGTCAAAAAATGTTGTTGTACCTTTCGAGTCTGTGGATGAAACCCTAGTGTGTGACCATTCAAATGAAAGCTATTGAGCAGTACTTTCATGTGGTACTGTTTATTATGCTGTACAAGATGGTTCTAACTTTTAAGTCTGTGGATGAAACCCTAGTGAGTGACCATTCAAATGAAAGCTATTGAGCAGTACTTTTATGTGGTGCTGTTTATTATGCCTGTACAAGGTGGTTGTAACTTTTTAAGTCTGTGGACGAAAACCCTAGTGTGTGACCATTCAAATGAAAGCTATTGAGTAGTACTTTCATATGGTACTGTTTATTATGCTAGTGTTTGACCAGTTCTTTCATGTGGTACTGTTTGTTTTTGACAATGAAACATACCTGATACGCAGTAAGCTGATCCTGAGCGCTGTCGATGCGACAACTAGTCGCGTTTCTGCATCTGGGCATCTCCCTCTTTCTTCTTCAGCCATCGTATCATCTTAAGCTTGTTCCTGGTGAAGTCCCACCACTTCTTGGCGGTTTTCTCGATGCTTTTCTTCTTCTCCTCCACGTCCAGTATGACCGTGTGCCACTCCATGTTCAGATTACCGAGCTTCTCGTCAAAAGCCACGGCCTGCCCGGAGGATTCCTGCTGCAGCATCAGGTGACCGTCCTTCACCACCACGTCCAGATCAAGGCACTGCTGCTTCCACAGATCAACCTTGGCCTGCGATTGGATTGAAGTAATATATCAAACACGAAAGACAGTGTTCCATCGCGATATCCAAACACCGAGAAGAGGGCTGAAAATACGCAGCGGAATATTTTTGACGAAATTCGAGGTGTTTGGAAATCGGATGAAACACTGTCTCGAGTGTTTGTGTTTGAGAAAGAACATTCTCAAACTTATTATAATAATCCTTAAATCATCACGTATCAGTCGCGACTTAAATTGTCAAACTTTATAAGAACGTTGTTTCATGATTTTGAAACTACAATCATGAAAATAGATCAAACGGTAGGTCGTGTTGATTTTATCGTTTTATTGCGACATATACCGGTATACAAACAGATATTAGACACGACGAACGCTCGGATGAAATCGCGAATTTAAGCGACTTAGGCCCAGTTCAGACGCCGTACTTCACATGAGCCGAATCGAATTCGATGAATTAAGTTCATGTGAGGTACGGCGTCTGAATCAATTCAGAACGGCTGAATGAATTCCGGCTCGGCTCAGCCGTTCTTCCCGCCTGGCTCAGCCGGGAATAACGGCTGTGGACCGGCTTTGATTCAGACGCCGAACTTCACATGAGCCGAAACAAATGCATGAATTATTATAATGTATTTTTCAGTATAACAGCAATTTTCCCCTATTAATTTAAGTTCGGCTGAATTAAGCTCGGCGTCTGAATCAATTCAGCCGGTCTAAATTAATTTGGGTCGACCTAAATTCGATTCGGCTCATGTGAAGTACGGCGTCTGAACTGGGCCTAAGGTTTTAACATTTCCGCAAAATTAACTAGTGTCGCGAAATATGGCCACTCCAAATACGCGAAAATTTAATTTAATGATATCTAAGCGTAGATACGCACAACAGTTCGTACTAGTTTCGCGTGATGACTTGAGACGTATGTTTTTTGCTCATAAAATTTGCATGTAGCTTAATTTGAAGGCGACAATTGTTTTAATAAAGCAATTATCGGCAATTATCTTAGCTTGCCAAAAGAACGCAGATCCTTAAAATTTCTTAAAACATGCTCCACACAATCGTGGACAGAACTAGTTGAGACAAGGGAATATCACACACTTTTCGCAAATCAATTAACTAACGAGCGGGTGGAAACATTTTTGTCCCCCTCTCCCCCTGCTCAATGCTGTTTCATGGGGCTGTCAATTCATCCTGCTTCGTTTTCACATCGTTTTCACAATGCGACAACATTGAAATGGTGGAGGGAGGAGGGTTGAACAAATAGGCTGTGGTACTCAAATTGGTTGAAATTTGGTCAAGTGTCTCAACAGTTTTGTCCACGATTGTAGTTTCTTACCTTCGCCTTTCTCGATTCCTCCTTTATTTTCTCCAGCACCGCAGGTGGTATATCCTTAGCGCTACTTAACTTCTCCTCGATCTTTTCCAGGTATTGTACCACGTGTTTAGACGAGTCCAGGTAATGTCGTGATAGAACCAGCAGTTGATATCGTCCGGCAGCCCATCGTAACATTTCGTCCCAACGATCGGTTAACTTCGTGAGCTTGTCGCCGAGTCGTTCGGCTTCTTCGCCCATGCTCGCGTGCAGTCGTACCTCGCGGCCTTCTTTCACGAGGGATTCGAACGAGTCCTGGCGGCATCTGAAGTTGGATTGAAATTCCTGGCGACAGAAATAGTATTTAGAAGTAAAATTAGACACCATGTATCATACAATCCACAGGTCACAACCTGCACTAGTTTTCAAGCAATTCCTGAAGCATTTTATAGCGGCAGAAATGAAAGGAATAAGCGTAAATTTCTTTGACTTTATACGTCATTTCGATATGAGGACGGAAGAGAGAAAATTGACTATCACTTACTCGCCGGCATACGCGTGATTCTCGCGAATTTCTCGCCCGCGCGTGGGCTCCAAACGTAAGCCTGTGTGAGACGCAGTGGACTAATGGTTAGTGCGTTGGACTCCGGACCGAGCGGTCTGGGTTCGAGCGCTGACCGGGATCACTGTGTTGTGTTCTTGGACAAGACAATTAACTCTCACAGTGCCTCTCTTCACCCAAGGAGTATAAATGGGTACTGGCGAATTGTAAGGGAAACCCGACAAAAATGCTCAAAGGTAACCTGCGATGGACTAGCATCCCATCCAGGGGAGTAGCAATACTCGTAGTCGCTTCATGCTACGGAAACCGGATAAGTTATACAAAAACAATATGCACGTCCTACCGAATTTGCTCCTTGATTACCGTACATAACTCCTATTCCATGTAGTCTGATACAGAATAACTTTACTGTAATCGAATTGAACTAACTCACCTCCAGTCCTTTTAACTGTTGCACAGCCTCCGTCTCGTCACGTGGTTTCTCTATCTTAGTAAACCCTTCCATTTCCTCGACCCAGGCTAAAAATGCGTCCAACTTATCGTGGAAGCTGTTCCAACTAAGAAGCTCTCCCTTAAGAGTCTCGACTCTTTCTGGGATGCAGTTTGCAAGAGCTTCCCACTTCTGTCTCAGCGAGTCACACTTTTCATCAACTATCTTGTCTTGGATGCACAGCATGTACTTGCTCGTGTTGGACAACTCCTGGTAGTTTTCGACGGCCGATTTGAAATCCACTTCACAATTTTCCATGTCTCGCTTTACACCCTAATAATGATAACAATTTTCAACAAGAAGGTAAACAACTTCACACGGCCTTGAGAAAGATATTAATCAGACAGTGACACAAGCTACGCGGAAAAAGAATTCCGAGCTCTCCCAACAGGAGTCGAACCTATGACCTTCGCTTCCACACACCGGTCGGACGCTCTACCACTGAGCTACAGGAGACTCGTGGGAGCTAAGGCCATATAACTAGGTTCAAATGTGACAAACCTCCCGCATACTGCAACTAATTTCAAGTGTGACAAACATACTGCAACTAATTTAGGGCATTAGGCCACTACAGTAGAATCCCGATTTTCTCAAAACTCCGATAACTCAAACCAAAAGTCGTTTCCCTTGGATTTGTTTCACTGTAATTTTACCTCCGATATTTCGAATTCCCGATATCTCGAACTAATTTTCGTTTCCCTTGGAGGTTCGTGAAATCGGCATTCCACTGTAGTTTTGATTTAGAATTTGTACCTCTTAGGGATGAAAATGAATGCGAGCCACACCCACAAAACAAGATTCTCGTACCTTTAGGGGTTCTTTCAAAATTTCCGACGATCACCCCCGTCACTTTTATATGGGAGTCACACCCCCCCCCCCCCCGGATCATTTTAGCACTGGTTCTATTCTTACCTCATAGTAAGCAAGCGCCTCTTTCAAACTATCCTCGTCTCTGCTAGACAACCCTCTTTCATTCTCCAGCTGGCCTTCAGCTTCAACTACCCAAGATCCATGTTCGCCAACATCTCGTCTTTCTCGGCCCAGTCTAGCCTGAGCTCGTCCAAATGTACCAGTCTCTTCTCGGCATCTTGCACGGCTTGGTTCCATTTCTCTTCCAGTTGCTTCAGTGTGTCTTTGATATCGAGGTCTTTGAGTCGCATGCTTGCTGAGAGCTCGGCACCTTTCCAGATCAAGTTGTCGAGAACACCTCTCAGTTCACGCAAATATGCAAGCAGTATCTGAAAGCAAGGATAGTTCAATGAGGCATACATGGAATTTCAAAAATTTCAATTCTTCTCACTACTATTAAATTTTTAGTTCGGAGAATTTGGTATTACATCATGACAATAAATAATTATATCACGGCCGAGGTCTATCACGCGAAAACCAAATCCGATAACTATTTGATTCTGTTTCGGGAATAACTTTGCAGCGTTTTGTAGCTTTTCCCTTCGCGGATTGCTTCCGCCGCTAATGAAGCGAATTAACGATGCTTGGTACACGTGCATGACGTCAATCGACATGCATCGTCTGTAGGTTTGACTCGTAATTACACGCATAAACCCTATTATCATTCGATGCTTTATTTTCTCCCTTTTAATTGGTCGAGAGCCCACCACGCGACCTGCGAATAACTGCCTACGAATAATTTTGCCTCATGCGCACAACGGTGCAAAGTTGTTTTGCTGTGAATAATTGTTCTGCTCCCGTCCTCTACAATGGCAGCCCGATTTCCAGAATTATCTGAGAGCGATCTTAATTGTCTAATCGAACAAAAAAACAGCGATAACACCAAGAAAGCAACCAAAGTTGCTGTGAACGTAATTCGCAACGAAGGCAAGTTGAATTTATGTGTTTTATGTTTATGTATAATTTACAGTCGACAGAATAAATTCTTGAATTGAGAAGAAATGCCGACTTCTGCGATAACTTCAGCAAGGCTTCCGCGCTTCCCGAAAATAATTGGATCGAATGATAAAACAATTATTGAACTCGGTTATCGCAAAATATCGTGATTTATCAGTGTCTCGTAGATCAATTATTTGCCTCAGCCTTCGCTTCGGCAAATAATTGATCTGCTCGCCACTGACAAATCACGATATTTTGCTCAACCTCGTCCAATAATTGATAAGTGTCTGTAGTTATGACGCGTCAATTTGATGCCAGCGTGAATTAGCTGTATGCTCTCAGCCAATGAGAATAGAGATAGTGAGCAACATGTATAATAATATCCCTTAGTTGATGAATAGCTTTATTCTCATCACGTGTCTGCTTGACAATGTATTGATACTGTTAGGAGAAATTAGATGTGGATCACTCTTGGGAACAAGAACCTGAAGGTGAATTTATGTACCTTATCTTCTTCTATACGAACAGCCACTTCTTCAGAACTCCCAAAATACGGAAGCTGCGAAGAGAGCTTCTCCTCCAGTTCTTCAAACCGGGACGTGAATTCCTCAAACACTTCTTGATACTCGTTGAGCGGTTTAAGACCCTGCTCTGCGCTATTTTCAGACATTCTCGCTGTCTCGAACAGCTCATTCCAGCGTTCTCTCAAACTGCATAGCTTTGCCTTGAAATGCATCGTACCCACATCCATGACGCCTTCAGAAATCTTACGCGCCTCCTCGAAAACACAGTAAAGCTTTGCCGGCGTTGAAACAATTCGTTTGACACTCCCTGCGTAAAGAACGCAAACAGTTATGCATTCAAACTCTTCTGGCTCTGGTTGTTCAAGTTATATATCAAACACAAGAGACTGTTTCATCGCATTTCCAAACACCGAGAAGAGAGTTGAAAATACGACGGGCAGCGGAGTATTTTTGATGAAATTCGAGGCATTAGGAAATGTGATGAAACACTGTCTCGAGTGTTTGATATATCTTGTCAATCGAAACTAAAACTAAGGAGTAACGGAGAAATAAAATCGTGCCGATAAATCACTATCCAGTGGATTTAACAAAACAAACTGGGCAAAGCACTTTACTCTCACAGTGTCTCTCTCTACCGATGGGCGATGGACTAGCATCACATCCAGGGGAGTAGCGATACTCCAAATCACTCCATGCTATAGAAACTGGAGTTAAGGCCGACCTGGTAAGCCAGTGACTTGTAGACAGACTTTTTGAACATTCTTAACATGAAGTCATTTTTGCGAAGTTTAAAATCACCTTCAAATTGACGAAAGCCTCAAAATAATAGTTTTCTAAGGTAGAAAAACATCAAAGAGGTGATAATAAACCAAACAGGAACAAGGATGGTTGAGGATGGAGAAGATTGAGGCGGATTGCGAACGGCGAACTTAAAATGTTTTTTCAAGATGCGCCATCCGTGACGTACCTCCTTTGAGTTTTTTCACCTTTCTCAGACTCGACGTTCTTATAAATACAAAAAGGTTCTTATAAGAGTACTAGCTATAAAGCTGTTACCTTAACTTGAGCCAGCCATTCCTGTGACACGCGGCTTTCCTTGCGGCTCCTCTCCAGTCGGGAATCCACTTTATCCATGTACTCTTCAAACTTGTCCATCTGCTCCCCCAAACCTTCCCACTGTTTAGATTTGCTGTTGAGGTTTTCAAGATGAGCCGCGATCTCGTCGAACAGCGACTTCTTTAGCGACGAAATGCTGTTCAGTTGTTCCTCTATTCTCGTTTTGCAGTCCTCGCTAGCTTTCATTTTGATCGTGGTCCCGAGGGAAAAGATGAAGTTATACTCAACTAACTGAGCTTGAAGATCTTGTTGGAAGTCCTAGAAGAAAACAGTAAAGAGACACTTGGACATGACATACACAAAGAAGTAACCCGATTCGAAGAGAAACGAAACCGCAGAGACACAAGTAATTCGTGAACCACGCGCGCATTTTCTGGGTGCCATGTTGTAAATAAAAATAAAGAAGAAGATTGGTAATTGTACATCTTGAAAAATTTAGCCTAAATTTTTCTAGTTCGTCTTTGAAATCCGTCTTAATCTTCTACATCCTCATGTTCCTTTAATAACATAGAGCGGCCAAATTACTCAATTCTGATTGGTTTAGACAAGGCAATTTTCAGTCGTTAAGTTCTGTTTGTGGAGGGGCAAAATTACTCCGAAGATTCTCGAAGATCGCCCGACGACCTCCGAAGATTTTAAAGTTCACCCGAAGACTTCCGACAATTTCCGAAGATGACCCGAATCTTACCGAAGATTACGCGAAGATTTCGGAAAATCACCCGAGATTTTCGAACGTAATCGGTCGGCAATATTGTCCGATAATCTCCCGAAGATTGCCGAAATAAATCGATTCTCACACCTGTATCTCTTGCTTCTGATCATCAACTATCTCAATCCCAGTGACATTAAAGGTCTTGCTCCGAGTCACCTCCACTTCTCCTTGGGCCAGAACCTCTTTAAAACCCTCCAGACCTTCATTATACCGCACCCAGTTGTTTAATGCGGTCTCGAGTTCATCTTGTCTCTGTTTGCAGTCCTGGGACACTTCATTCGACAGAGTTTCAAGCCTTGTCACATTCGCCTGCACAAAGTCTAAAGCGCTTTCCATTTGCAACAGACGTCTGCCTTGCGAGATCGCTTCTTCTATTTGCGTTTGGTGAGATTGTAGTGATTGAAGAATGTCCTGCGTAGAGAAAACAAGAATTGAATTTAAAGGAGCGATATTTTAAGTCATATTTTTGCTACAAACAAAATTATTTTCAAGTTGAAGGAAACCTCAAAATAATAGTTTACCAAGGTAGGGAAATACCAAATATTTAACAAGCAATCAAACAAGAACAAGGATGGTTAAGGATGGAGAAGATTAAGATGGATTACGAATGGCAAAGTTGGAAAATTTAGGCTAAATTATTCAAGGTGTTCAAATTGTGAACACTAGTCTTTTAACACTAGTTTTAGCCAAGCGACCTCGAACTAAGCTAAATTTCGCGCCAAAAACACGGCTGATGTACACGTGTATGGCGTCTTTTACTCAAAAACGATAGCATTTTGTGTTAAATTCACCACAGGAGAAAGAAAGGAGGACATTAAAGGTAAGATGATGGAAATTCTACAGTTAATTTTCAAACCATAAACAATCGTTTTAGATTCAGACTTTGCCACAACCATTACTTTGAGGTTGTATTCAATTTTAACACCAGTTGTATATAAATCGTCCAAAATGGCATCCCTTAGCCCCCTAGAAGTGAGACCCCTCGCCCCAGGTCACCCTCACCTTGACAGCTTGCAGCTCGTTCTCCGCATCAACCACGCCATCCAAACAAAACTCCACCTCAAGACGACTTTTCACCTCGAAGAGAAACGTGACATGCTTCTGAGTGCACTGCTGGTGTTCAAAACACTGAAGCATGGTGGAGAGTCTGTTATTTATGTCACGCACGGTAGGTAACGCTGTTTGTACCCGTTCTGTCACGGCGTGGACGTCTTGTGCGAAGTCTTGGTTGTTTGACGAGCTTACAAGCTTCTGGG